TATATATATATATATATATATATATAGTATGTATGTATATATATGTATTTTATATATTTATATTTATATAATTATTGTCGAGTTAGCCAACATACAGTATATACACACTGTACTCTTGGTTTCGGGGGTAGATTCCCGTGACTCATCGCTTACATACAACACCCAGTGCTCATCCCAGCAAGTGCCCTCCTCAATGCCCATCATCCATTTTCCCCTCCCCCCCACCCCTCCCATCAACCCTGTTTGTTCTCTGTATTTAAGAGTCTCTTATGGGTTTGCCTCCCTCTCTGAACCTATTTTTTTCCCTTTCCCTTCTGCCATGGTGTTCTGTTAAGTTTCTCAAGTTCCACATGAGCGAAAACACAGATCTGTCTCTCTCGGACTTATTTCACTCAGCGTAATACCCTCCAGTTCCATCCACGTTGTCACAAATGGCAAGATATCATTCTTTCTCATTGCCAAGTATGTTCCATTGTATATATAAACCACATCTTTATCCATTCATCAGTTGATGGACATCTTCACCCATACTTTTAAACCTCTGCTTCTCTTATGGCCAGTCTGGGGTGGAGCAGAAGCCCAGTAGCTGACTGCTGTTCTGGGGAGCTGGGGGGGGGGGGGGACTGACCCATGTTGTACAGTTTCTACCTGCAGGTGGGTTGAGAACTGGAGAAACCAAAGGGTGACATGAGAGGCAGCAGTGAGAGGCAAGTAGGAAATACTGAACTTTGGGCCGGAAAGGGCTGAATCCAATCCCCAGTCCACATCTGCCAGCTGTGTGGCCCTGGGCAAATGGCTTAATGCGTCTGAGCCTGTTTCCTCACCTGTGAGATGGCTGTCGAAGTACCTGTCCTGCTGGGTTGCTGTGACAGGAGAGGGAATGTGTGGGGAATGGTTGGCACATGGCAATTCTCAGTATACGGCCCCTAGAACAACAGCTGGAGTCACTGCTGCAGAGGTAACAGTTGCCAGGTAAGAGCCAGCGGACCGGTTAGATACGAATTCCTATAGATAAACAATGAGTGATTCCCTTTTCTAAGTGTTAAGTAAGTCCCAAATATTGCACGAGTACATCCAAACCAAGGGGTATCTGGCCATAGAACGGAAGGAAGCGATGTATGCTGCAACCTGGGTAAGCCTTGAAAATACCATACGAAGAGAAAGCAGCTGGTCATAAAAGATCACATGCTGCATGACCCCATTTCGGTGGCACGTCCAGGAGAGGTAAATCTACATGGATAGAAAGTAGGTTTGTGGTTGCCTAGGGCTAGCGGCTTGGGGAGAAAGGGGGAGTGACTGCGACTGGGTAGGAGGTTTCTCATTGGGGTGACTGGAAATGTTGTAGAACTGAATGCAGTGCCAGCTGTACAACTCTATTACTAAAAAGCACTGATTTGTACAATGATGTCGGTTAACTGTATGGTATGTGAATGTGAGCTCAATAAAGCTGCCCTAAGAATATATGTGCGATCACAGAGGCCTTTCTAGCCTTAGTGAAATGGCTTAACTAACTAGCTGGCAGGTGGAAGAGGGTTTTGAAGGTAAGTGACCCTACTCACCAGGTAGGCTTTTCCACAGTGAGCTTCCTCGAAACCTCGGCTTTCTCTCACGGCTGGAAGGGGGCCTTCAAAGCCGCTTCATCCCACTCCCACCCTACGCCCCACAGAGATCGCCAAAATGGAAGACACAAAACACAGAAACCAAAACGATCACTCCCAGGCTCGTTCCTTACAATCGGGCTTCACACTTTTATTGTTACTTTTCTTCACATGGCAGATACAGAACCGTCCTCTTCCGTGATCCAAACCCACGCCCCCAAAACCACCAATGACCAGCAAACACCACTCTTTAGAAGACCACCCCCGTTGTCGCGATCGGAACACTCGTGTAACCCTTTCCACTAGTCTGAGAGGGTGGAAAGCTGACCGGCACTTTTGCGCGTGCAAAAACGAGTGGCCCCCAGCCCCCAGCGACATTTCCTGGAATTCACCATCGGCTGAAGGTGAACTTTCGAAGCTTTGGGTTCGTGAGCCTTCCTTGCTGCTGAAAGGGGAAACCTTCCAGAACGGAGAAGATGAGTGTCGACATTGATGGGACAAAATCGTATCGTGAGGATAAGGAACAGCCACAGCTTTCCATGCTTGTGAGGGTTAATTTTAGGAGTGGGCAAAAGCATTCCAGCTTATGGGAATTTACAACAAACAATGGTGTGTAGCTGGGTGGCAAATGGAAAACTGGGATGCGGGCCAGCCATCGGCACTTTTCTGTCCATGTGAGGATCTCGTGAGACCTTTCTCCCGGACCATGATCAGACCCTACACTTGCAGCCAGTCGACTGAGTAATTAAATAACACAAGTTATAAAACTTTAAAAAGGGGGCATTTACAGTCAGGGACATAAATACGTGCTTTTAAAAGTGTCTACGTACATATTTACAGAGTTGCGAGACCAACCATAGTAGCCCTGGGGGAAAAAAAAAAAAGTCCCTTTTTGTGTGTGACCACTCATGTTCTCCCAAGTTCTCTCCTTCCACTGTGGGTCTGATACATCACTACTGAAAACGGAGCTGAGAAAACAGTGCCAAAGTGGTCTCAGACATCCGTGTCTGGGGTCTGCCCCAAAGGCACAAAACCCAAGACCCTCACTGAACTGGGTCCAAACTCCTAGCTCAGCTCACCCGTTTCTCCGAGACATGGGCTGTCCCTGCACAAAGCAGGGGCCAGCTCCATCGTTCCCTGGCAGGCGACTGGTGGCCTCTAGAAATCTCTTCTTCTTCCCCCTGTGCTTCTTAATCCTCCCGCTTATCTTCATTTCCCAATTTTTGTTTGTTTCCCTTTTCAGCTAATTTGGGAAGGTCAGTCGCTAACGTGTTGATGGTCCCAAGTGAGGCAAAGAAGCACTGGGGAGACCTCCCCCTCCTGCCACATGCTGTCCCATCCCCTGCCTCTCCCAAGGGGGCAACCAGGTCTGCAAATGGGGACGGGGACTTCTCTCCCAGATGCCCAGGGACTGACTAGAATTCCGAATCTGGAAACGACCCAAGCCAGCAGCTCAGGCAAAGAAGGGGGATTTTCGAAGTGCGCAGGCCAAGGGGGTCGACAGCAAGGCTCTGACGTGTCTACACGCCGTTGATTCCCAGAGACGTTGGAAGGCTAGGGAGGGTGGGGCGGTGAGAAAGGAGACTCGGCCTCCTCCTGAAGGCCTTCCTCGGACAGGCCTAGAACTGACCCCTGAGCCAGACCACAGTCCCCGCCATGGCAAAAGACAACTCGAGAAAGCAAAAAGCAGGATCTAGGAGCTCTTGAAAAATTGCATAGTAGGAGAGGCCCCACCCCAGCAGGAAGGCTGAGCTGCAGAACACGGTCCCAGGGGCTGCACCCACGTGTCGTCCACGCTGTGGAGTCAGCTGCCTTCCTGCCTCCCTGGGGTTTGGGACCCTCGTCTGAAGACCGCACACGCACACCCACGCACGCACACACTCCCTCCCTTTCTCTCGCAGGCTCGTAAAACTGGAATAGGTCGGTACTCCCTGCGGGGCAGAGGGCCAGCCAGTCCCTTTGGCTTCACTGACTCCAGGTCACTTCAGGTGCTGAAGGAGAAAAAAAGAAAAGAAAAATGGTAACAGTGGCCGCATCCTCAGTGCCTTCACTGGGCTGCTGAAGCACCATCTCAGCCAGTTCTTCTAATGCAACAATTTACTGACATACACCACGCGTACAGAAAGAAAGCACAGCTTGATGAATTTCCACCCGTGCAACCAGCACCCAGATCAAGAAACAGAACGTGACCAACCTCCCCTTAGCCCCCAGCCCAGGCTCCTTTTTAGGACCAGCACTCACCCTCACCCCCAGAATAACTACCTCCCCTCGATCACCAGGGATTGATTTTTGTCCGTTTTTTAACTGAAGTAAATGGAATCAACCAGCACACATCCTTCCCGTCTGGGCTTCTTCCACATGGTGCATTTGGGGGATTCATCCCTTTGGAGCCCGTGCGTGCAGCTCTGTCCACCTCCTTGCTGGGAGATTCTACCGCAGGATCCTGCCACTTTCATCTGGCTGGTCCCCACCAGTGCACGAGCGGGCAGCTTCCGATGCGGGGCCACTGTGAGGAATGCGGGTGGCTAGGACTCGCTTACCTACGCCTGGAAGACACGTGTGGCGTCCATGCGTGCCTGTTTGCGCCAAGTGGAAGTGCTGGCTGGTAGCGTGTGCACGGATGACATAGGAGCTCTCCCATGCGTGTGCACACACCCGCTGAGTGTCTCCCTAGTGGTGTAACTGCTGGGTCCCACTTCAATCAATACTGCCAAAGCCTTTTCCGGAGTGATTACACTATCACCTGATTTCATTCTAATGGTCCCGATGACCCTCGTGGCAGGTGACACTGATCCCCATCTTGCATGGAAGAAACAGAGGCTCAGAGAGGGCAAGCGGCTTTCACCAGGTCAGGCTGGTAACGAGGGGCAGAGGTGGGGCTGGAACTCAAGCCGAGCCCACCCCAGAGCCCGCGTGTGCTTTCCGTCATAGCGAATGGCTTGGGCTGCGTGCCTCCTGCACAGAAACCCCACTCGCAGTACTTGACAACAGAGCCAGGCTCGTGAGTCAGTCCTCAGTAACTTCTGCTGCGCTGGGCGGAATAGGAGCATGGCGTTGTGCTGGGCCAAGTTCAGGGGCTCCGTTCTCTCACCCCATGGACCTGGTCATCATTCCTGTAACTCCTACTCCTGCTACAACTACGATTCCTCTTCCTACCACTACTCTGATAACTCAGTGGGAGCAGAAACAGCAGGGCTGATTCAAGGCAGGCTGACCACACACCAGCCACTTTCCTAAGGGCGTCTCACGTACTAACCCACGCAGTCCTTGCAGCAGACCTATGACACAGGTATACCATTAACCCATTTTGCAGATGGGCAAATTGAAACGCAGAGAAGTGAAGTACCTACCAGGACTGTTGGAGCCAGGATTCGCTTCCAGAAAATGCACACTTGACCACGATCCATTCCAACCCCCGCCCCCCCGAAACCTCTTGATGGGGCTGGAAGGAGGGCCGCTTGCAGTACACGAGGGCGCCTTCAAGAGAGGAGGGCCTCCCTTCCCGGTGGGGGCCCACGTGTGCCCAGGCCCATCCCCGCACAAGCCGGGGGAGAAAAAGAACGCAGAGACAGGGGCCAGCCATGGAGTGGCCTGCATGTCCTCGGGCCGGTGTGGCTGGTGTCATGTGTGTATTACCTGTGGGTCATCGAGCGGGACCCACAAAAGAAGCCATCTTGCCAGTCCCCAGCCCGAGGGGCAGCCCTTCAGGGAGGGGACCCCAGCAGCAGGGGCCGTGGGCTGGACCACTGGGGCTGGAGCTGGGCAGAATTTGCTAGAGGGGAGCTCTCTTATCAGGGAGGCGGGCAGGGGGAGACACCCCACCCACCCCACTCCTGGGACCCCACAAGAGGCCAGCGACCAGCACTAGGAAGCCTGCCCCGAGGCCAACGACAGCTGAGGGGAAGATACGGAGGCAGCCAGATGAGTGAGAGGTGCCAGTCCCTTCCCCGGACGTTCCCCTTGAAGACCCCGGGGCCCAAGTGCGGCTGGCCCCAAGCAACAGAAAGAGACAGAGGCGGACAGGACGTGCAGGGGCAGGCTTTACGCTGGACTGGGCAAGGTGGCACGTTTTGTACCTGAAAGCGAACAGAGAGCTCTGGGCTTTGCCCATGGCACCGATAAAGCCCAGAAAAGGGAGGTGCCTGCAGACAACAGTCCCAGGAGAAAAGCCGAGCTCCTAGCTCGGTTCGGACCGTCGAGTAAAGTGGCCAGAGCCTCTAAGCCGGCGAGAGCAACAGGTGAGGGGCAGTCCCGGGGCCTGGGCGCTTCCAGGATGTCACCCGTTCCTCATAACAGATCCCACTGCACACACAGTCTCACACGGGGTTTCAGGGGACAAGCGTAGGCCACTTAAAAAGTCCACCATCCATTCTAGGAGTCAGACGACTCAAGCTCTGCCCCCAGTTCTGCCAACTGCCTCTCCGTGACCTACACGCCCTGCCCACGCTAACATCCTTTGTCACAGCACTGAAAAAAAAATCATTCTGGAAGTGTGTTAAAGACGGCAATGGGCTGAACTGTGTCCCCCTCAAGATTCATATGAGGAAGCCCTCACTCCTCGTGTGATGGGATCAGTGCCCTTACAAGGGACACCAGGGCCTCCTCTCTGCACCACGGAGGATGCAGCCAGAAGACGGCCTCTGTGAGCCGGGAAGAAGGTTCTGGTGAGGACCGTGCCGGCGCCCTGGCCTGAGACTTGTGCCTCCAGAACCGTAAGAGACAAATGTCTGCATGTTTAAGCCCCAGTCTGTGGTATTTTGTTATGGCGGCCCGAGCAAGACAAACAGTATAAATGAGGTGTTCTTTTAATTTGTATACACGGATATGTATCTATAGATAGATAGATCTATATAGATAGATCCACAACAGGCTTGTTGTAAATAGAAATTAGAAACGTAAAAAAGTTTAAGACTTGAAGGGGCAAGTTCCAGTCACTTAGAAATTAGGCCATTCAGTTCCGAATGCTCACTGTTGATGGGCGAATAGAGGCTGTTAACTGCAGATGCTAATTACATTGGGCTTCTATTCACCTGAGCACCTTGCCGGGGAAGCTGCACCTGTTTGAAAATAAGGGAAGACAAGGCATACTTCCGGGGTCGTGCCCTGGCCCCTGGGCAGAGCCCGAATTAGCAACGCTTGGCCAACACTGTGTCACCACCAGAGACTGCAGTGGCCAATGGACGCACCCTGTCTGCGGACGGATCAGCCCAGTTGCACCTGGCTCTCCTTCAGGTTGCAAAGAACACCTCCAGCGGCCACCACAGGGACGTCCTGGGCCCCAGAA